GAGACCCCCCCCCACAGCCAGGCCCAGCATCGCAAAACTCCCTTCAGAGCCGAGGTGGGACCCCCCCCAAGCCCTGCCTGTCCCCTGCCACCACCCTGGGGCTGGCCGCAGGGACCTTGCTGCTGTCCAGGGCAGGGTCAGCGCCGGTTTCGGCAGCTCGAGCGCCAGGGGGGTGAGGTGCAATAACCCCCCTTTTCCCCAAAGCCAGGTCTCTGCAATTAGCTCAGCCTGGGCTCAGCTCCCTCCGCCCACGCAGCGAGGACAGACATTGCCAGCAAGCAGCGTGTTTCTTCTACTTGGTTTTTATTTCAAGTCAGAGCACGTCGGCTCTGCCTTCACCAGTGCTGAGAGTGGAAGGAAAAGGTGCAGGAGAGCACAGGGGGGAGAGGCACCAGGAGGAGCCAGAGCCCAAGTGCTGCCGGACACCAACTCCCAGGCAGCTTACATGCTCCTTCTTTCCCACTGAATTAGATTCTGGCTGTGAGCCCCCCTGCTCCCCCCCTGTGCATGGCCACCGGTGTGCAAGGAAGGAGGTTTGCTCTCCTGCAGCAGCTGGAAGGGATATCCCCTCAAAAGGGCAGGAGGGACACACTGCTCCCCACCCGCTCACTCCCTGCCCCGTGCTCCCGGGGGAAGCTCAGCCCCGTCTGTCCCAGCTGCAGGGTGAGCTCTGCCAGGTGGCCTCAGGTGTTGGGCTCCAGCTCCGTGCAGCTGAGACCTCCCTCCCTGAGAGCTGCGCAGCACGGCTGGTACTGGGGAAACGCAGCTTCCGCAGCACAGGGGGGGAATAAACTGGAGAGAGCCGCCAGGCAGCGGCCAGCCCCTGGTCCCAGAAGGAAAACCTTCCTCCGTTGTGCTGGATGGGAGCCCGTGGATCCCACCCTGCCCTGGGATGTGCCAAGCACACGGAGCCGCGCTGGCACTGTCACCCCACGGGCACTGTCACCTCACCCTGCTACCCCTCCAGGGAGCAAAGGCCATGGGAACAACAAACACAGGTTTCACTAACCACTAGACCTCTTCTGCAAAGAGAAGAGTGATACGAACACGCTGCCTGGGGACATCAAGGACAGTCGAGAGTCAGCAGGGAGAGAGTACGTGAGCCCTGGACACCACAAAGCCCAGGACAAGGCCATGTTCCCAGTTCAGCCCCAGTCCTGCCAGCCTGGGCATCCCTCCGGCTCAGCAGCGGTCCCTCTTCCAGCAAGGGGTGCAGGTCCCGGGGAAGGCAGGCGAGGTCGCTAGAGCCGTTTATTGCATCTCACGCCGTCCGCCCAAGGGCTCAGCTGGCTCATCCGGACTGTCCGAGTGCGTGTCGTCCATGCCGAAGTCGCTCCAGTACGGGAAGGTCTCCAGGCAGCTCGGATCCCGCGGGCTTCCCAAGCCGGCGCAGCTGGAAAGAGAGAACAGGTCAGAGCGGAGAAGGAATCCGGGGAAGATGTAGGGCCCGAAGGTCCCCGCCTGTCTCCATGTCAACCGCTGCCTCCTCAGCACAACCCCTTCTGCGCAGCGGGGGCTGCTTCCCCTCCGCACAGCCCCACCGCAGCCCTCAGCCTCCAGGGAGCATCACCTCCGCCATCAAGCCCCGAGCAGGAAAGCGGGGAGAGTGCCACCAGCGCGAGGCAAGACACCAAGAGGGACGCACAAAGCCGCACTGCCTGGGTACCTACCCCTGAGCCCGGGCTGCTGCGCTCCCTCAAACCCCTTCCTTAAACCAGAAGCGCTCTATTTAAAAACGGGTCTCTCGCTGGAGTCCAGACACCTCTCTCTTCCTGCTATTTGAAAACCAAGATGAAGAAACACGGGTGCTGGGTGGTGCAGAAGGCCAGACACGGCCTCACAGTCAGGGAAATACCTCACACGAGGGGCAGGAGGACCCCCAGCATCGCTGCCAGGGACCCCGCGCCTGCCGGGACTCAAACATGCAGGCGATGTCTGGGCTTGTTCAGCCTC